TAAATTAATTGTTGAGGGTGGGGAAGGGAAACCAGCAACTGTAGGTACTTGGAAATATAATGAAGAGGAAATTACTAAGGCACTTCTCTATATGATCATAGTTGATGAGCTTCCTTTTATTGTTGTTCAGAAAAAAGGGTTTAGGTATTTTCTGCGAAAATTACAACCATTGTATGTGACAAAGAGTAGGCAGACTGTAGCTGATGATTGTTATAAGTTGTATTTAGCTGAGAAGAAAAAACTGAAGTTTGAGATTAAAGGGAATGTTAGTAGAATCTGTTTGACAATGGATAGTTGGACTTCTTTGCAGCAAGTTAATTACATGTGTCTTACTGGCCATTATGTAGATAATAATTGGAATATGAAAAAGAGAATCTTAAGTTTTTGTCCCATTTCAAGTCATAAAGGTATCGGTAATGGAACTGCAATTGAAGATTGTTTGTTAGATTGGGAAATTGAAGATGTATTTACAATTACTGTTGATAATGCTAGTTCTAATGACTCTGCGATTGATTATTTAAAAGAGCAGTTTGCTCACTGTGAAAAATGTCTTTTGGGTGCTAAATGGTTGCATGTACGTTGTGTGGCTCATGTTATGAATCTGGTAGTTAAAGATGGCTTGGACTATATAGGAAAGTCTGTAGAAAGGATTAGGGCAGCAGTTAAGTATGTTAGGCAGTCTTCTAAAAGAATTTCAAGTTTTAGAAAATGTGCTGAAATCGAGAAGTGTAATAGCTCTAAGAATTTAGTCTTAGATGTTTGTACACGATGGAATAGCACATATTTGATGCTGGAAACTGCTCAAGTGTATGAAAGAGCCTTTAGGAGATATGAGTCTACTAATAAGCACTTTAGAGACACTCTTAGACACGATCCTGAGGTGCCAAATTCAGGACCCGGGCTGCCTACTTCATTGGATTGGATCGAAGGACGGAGGGTGGCTGGTTTGCTTCAGCATTTTTACGAGATAATGTTGAAGGTATCTCGTACAAAATCTGTGTCTTCTGATGGTTTTTTATAACTTGCATTGATGTGTTGCTGAAAAAGATCATTAATGAAAGTCAAGATTATGAACAAAAGGCTATGGCTGAAATGATGAAACTGAAGTTTGATAAATACTATGATGATGTTGCAAAGATGAACCTTGTTCTTTGTATGGCATGTGTTTTCCATCCAAGATGTAAACTGACTTACTTAGAAGTTATACTTTCTGATATTTACAGGAAAATTGATGGGAAACAGAAATACGAATTGATTCAAAGTGCCATGTATGATTTATATACTGATTATGTGAGAATCCATGCCCCCCCTACTAGTTCTAGTTTGCCTTCCTCCAATCTCGATTCTTCTTCTCAAACTACTTCATCGCGGAAAAGGCCTTCCCCTATTGATATCGAGCCTTCGAAGGTCCTCAGAGATAGATTTAGAATGGAGCTGTTGAAGAAGAAAAATGAAGCAGCTGGTGGTAGAAATGATAAGAAATCAGAGTTGGAAAAATATTTGAAGGAAGATGATGAACCAGGTAGCGAAACATTTGACCTCCTGAACTGGTGGAAGGTGAATAGCCCTCGTTTTCCAATCCTTTCTCTTATGGTTCGTGACATTTTTGCCATACCTATATCTACTGTAGCTTCTGAATCAGTTTTTAGTACCAGTGGGAGAGTGTTGGACGCATTCCGGAGTTCTTTAACTCCGAAAACTATTCAGTGCCTGATTTGTGCACAAGATTGGCTTCGGGTGTTGGTTGAAGCTGAAGATTAAGATGTTGAAGAAAACTGGGATGATCTCCTACGGATTGAAGAAGGTTGATTTTAAATTTATTTGTGATTTTCAGTTCTTTATTGAATTATTTGAATGTTAACTGTTTCTTTCTTCTTATTTTTCGTTTTAGCTGCTGAAAAAGGAAAGAAAAAATTGGGATGGGCTAAAGTTTTTCTTAAACAAGCTTGACTGAACTAATATTCTCGTAAGTTTTGACTTTGTTTTTCAGCAACATAGACATGTTTTTCATCACTGTTATAACCTAAAAACCTTCAATCAAGTGGTTGATGTTGAAAGTGTCCTGTATTTTTGAATTTGCAGCCTTGCTTGTTCAGTTGTTCCAGTTTGTTGATTGCATATTCCTGCTGCTTGTTGAACTGTTGATCACTTGAAGACTTGAAGTTGAAGAGTGAAGACTGCTAAGTTGGTCCATTTAAGTTGAAGAATGAAGTATGAAGTTGCAGATTGAAGACTCATTAGTCTTATTGAGTGTATTTCAGTATTTCTATTTTGATGTCTGAAATGAACACTGAATTTGTTTACAATTTCAGTTTTGAATCTTCTGATTTTGAATGTTTTGTAGTTTGGACTTTGGATTTTAGATTTTAAAGTTTCAAGTTTCAAGTTTCAAGTTTGAACCTTGAATGTTGAATGTTGAATGTTGAACTTGAATGTGGTGTGTTGATTCAGTTCAGGTGTGCACTTAGCCACATAGCAGTATTGTTGAAATGAATGTTGAACTTGAATTTTTATTTTTTATTTTTTGGTTTTTTTTTTCCCGGTTCAATCAGGGTTTATTTTGAATTCGGTTAAACTGGGAACCGGACCAAAAAATCGATTATTAAATCGGCTCGGTTCAGTTCGGGAAAACTAAATTTGTGGTTCATTTTGGGGCGGTTTCGGTGAGGGAAAAAATCCGATTAAACCGAACCGAATATCGGCCAAACCGACCGAACTGACAGCCCTAATTCGAGCTAAGTATTAACAAACCCTTGAATTGATCTTATGATATTAGTACAGTCTGCTGAGCTTTGATGGCTACATGTAATAAGGATTGATGGCTATAGGTAATTTGATTAGAGAATGTAAATACTTAGCTCTGTAATTTAGTTAGAGCATATCGCCCTGAAAATTAGCTCTGTAAAAAACTACAAGTATAAAGCTCGAATTTGACTTAGCTCTGTAAAAAGCTACAAGTAATTTGATTAGAGCATGTAAAGCCTCATTATGCTACTATTTTTGTGATTATAGTATAAAGTCTTTGTCTTCCTTTTCCTTTCACCCTCTGTAATTTCATGTTTTGAAGATCAAATGATAATATAAGCATATTGCTATTTAATTTGCCCATATCACTGTTAGAGCAATTAGTACTACTCCCATTATCAATAGTACATTCCAAATTTTGTTGTCTAAATTATCAATGTATGGATGTATGCCTAGCTTTTTCCTTAGATTATGATTATTTCTGCCATTTTATGGCTGCCTGCTTATTAGAAATCAATCTTAGAGTACTAAAGAACCATCTTTGAAGAATTGGTCGGTACTTGGAGACAACTTTGTTTATGAGCATAAAGTTACAAGATATTCAAGGCCAAATAGATCTCAACTATTTATCCCGGGTATAAAGATATTATGATTTTTCCTTAATTCAGTCCATTTTTTTTATTAATTTTATTTTTTAAAAAATTGGGTTTGACGTTCCGTTAGTTTCGAAATAGTGTCTTAAATACATATATGATCTTTGGCAAAATACTCTATAAACTTTAAGTTCTTGAGATAGCTTCATCCTTGGACAACAAGTCTATTATTGAATATGACCAAACATGAAAGGAATCCGAATGGCGTACTATAATATTATGACATGTTCTTTGTTTAGGTTGGTGTTGATTTTCTAACAGGTGTTTGGTTTTCTGACCAGAATTGTGATAATATTTGTTTTGTATTTTACTTCTATTAGATATCAAGAGAAACCTTATCTATAACTTCATAAATCTTGCAGATCTGAAATTGAAGTATGAAAATATAATGCAAATGCGTACTTCTTTTGAGAGCCCACAAGCCGCAGTAGTAGATCCACCAACTGCAACATTGTGAAGTGTTATAACTTTGGTAATTGAATCTTTCAACTTCTATTTCAGTACTAATTAGATTGAAGTCCATGTATGCCGTCTCCAATTTGGGGGATTTCAATAAGTTTATCAATAATGTCTTCCAAGAGTATCATAATGTTTGGATGAATGGCGAATAGGTATTGTTTTGAATATTAATATTTTTTGTATATGGGTTATTCGTTTGTACCTTGCAAGAGTGAAAACCGAGGCCGGTTACTGTTAATATTTTTGCAGGTTCGGAACAACTTTTTCACTTTTGATTTTCAATACATTATGTTTGAAAAATAAGTGGATGACCACATGATACAGTGGTGCACATTTGGTGAGATTATTCTTCTCTTGGATTCTGAGTAAGTAGAATTCTGTTCGACCAGTTTTTGTTGTAGATTGTAATCATACAAGTGGGTAGTGTTTTTGGAATGCATATCTATAACTTTTACTCTAATGATTGTACAAAATAGACCTTCAATTATTCTTTTATTTTTTAATACATAATATTACATCATTACTTTTTTTGTGTGTGTATGGTGATTTCCATTTATTTATTTATTTATTTATTTTTTTTTTTTGCAAAACAAGACTGATGACTCTGAAATTTGAAGAAATCAAGCTGCTACTGACCCATTTACTCAGCTTCACTGTATTGAGAAAAACAGGAGTTGCTACGATACAATATGCAATCGTGAATAATCTCTACTGTTTTAGAATGTATATATTGTTATGTGTACCTTATATATTATACCAAAAGGTATTATTCTTTTTTCTGATTGTTTATTTTTGTCATTCATCAACTTTAAAAACGCAGACGCCCCTGGACAAATAATTGTAATAATACATTTTAATATAAATATAAAATAAAAAAGATCGCTCGGGCATACGCCCGGGCCAAGCATATAAATATAAAATCAAAGAGATCGTACAGGCATATGTCCGGGCCAAGCATCTAGTTGTGGTGATAGAGGTAACATCAACATCTATGTTATTCATTCAAAAAAAAAAAAAAAACCCCTATGTTATTAATCAAAGGTAACTTGGCATTTACAGATGCAAAACTCTCCTAAACCCATGGGAATTGTATCTTGGTAATATTAAAGAAAATGAAAAAAAAAAAGAGAAAAAGAACACATGCTATATTGTTTGGCTATTACTTCTTACTGTAATCCAGTCCCCTGAAGAAATCAACTGATTCCCTGATACTAGCTTCTTATTGCCATAGCATGATCTCATGGAGAATGGATTTCCTCTGCTCATCACAAACTCATTATCCTCCTCATTATCAGATGATGATTCATCTGAATTATAATCCAGTAAGTTCGAATCCAAAATACTTGCAGGTGAAAATGCATTTTCAAGAATGTTTCTTGAACCTGATTTGCCCTGAATAAATGGATGCTTGAGCAATTCCCCTGCTGTCCACCTCTTTTTTGGATCTCTTTCCAAGCATTTGCTCAAGAAATTTAAACCCTCTTTGGAAAGATTTGATGGAAACTGTGGGATTTCATTACCATTAGCAATCTTCAAAATTGCAGCCATTGGATTAGTGTAAGAAAAATCAATACCCCATGGAGATTTGCAGCAGCCATTAGCCATTTCAATTACTGTACATCCTAATGACCAAATATCAGCAGCAAAATCCAACCTTTCATTTCTCAAAACTTCAGGTGCCATCCACAAAGGAGTTCCTCCCACATTTGGTTGGATTGATGATCCCTTTTCGACTTTTGAGTTACTTATCTTCTTCGCGAATCCGAAGTCTGCCAGTTTGATGTTTCCTGAGAGGCCTAAAAGCACATTCTGGCATTTAACATCACAATGCACAATCCCATTCTCATGGAGATAAATCAGGCCCTGAAGGATCTTTTTCGTGTACAACCGGATCAGGTCATCGTCTAGTTTGCCTCCGAATTTCTCAACTACTTCAGCTAAACTACCTCCAGGCATGTACTCAATGAAAAGATTAAACTTCCTAACACTATCTTCTGCTGTACAGGAGAAGTCCTTCCCTAAGCATTTTACAATGTACGGAGAATCTAAGTTTCCCAGAATATTAGCCTCATTTTCCAGCGACCGGATTCCAACTTCAGTTTCTGCAGATTTCACAACAAAAAGTGCCCCTGTTGATTTGTCCATGGCTAAATGCACCGTGCCAAATGATCCTGATCCAACCACTTTTCCCTTCATCCATTCAACAGGCTTGGGAAATATGCACTGACATTTTCTGGCCATTTTGCTTCTTTTCTTCTCTGGATAACTAGTTAGCAAAGTACATTGAAATTTGTACACAAAAATTGTTTCCTGACAAAATTTGGTGATCAAAACCCCATCCTACAACAAGAAAACCTGATATATAATACACCATACAGGTTCATTTCCCTGTTTTAAGAGGTGAAAAGAGTAAGCCATGTTGAATAAAACATATGGGATTTTTGGCACCCTTCAATGATAAACAAATCAGACAACCTACATAATGCAAAATTGAACCTTCAAAAGAAAAGAGTGGCGGTCTTTCCCCCGGTAAAGGAAAAACCGCCCTCTTTATGAAACTGCACTTTTGTTAAGGACTAAGAGCAGATGTGAAGAATGTTTGTTAGATTCTTCTTCCTTCTTTGCTTATTGCCATGAATGAATCTAAAGGAAGAAAGAAGAAACTGTAAACTTTTTCTCCAGAGAATCAATTTTGGCTCAAGTGAATAACTGCCTAATTGGGAACGGTTGGTGATCCAACATATTAGGAATCCATTGGATGTGATTGGACAAAATTTTCACAGTTTTGGTCCCAATGTTTGGGAAGGTGACGGTTTTTCGCGTGACATTTTCGATCAATTTAAGGTTAAACTGCAAGTTTCATTAACCGCTAGAAAACCCTTTTCTTTGCGAGCCGTCCACCGCCACAGGGGAGGGGAAGACCGGCAATAGCCTCAATCAATACAAAGAATTGTGTAATTTTTGGGTGCTAAGCTATCAAATGTTGTCTATCTTACAGCTTTTGCATCATGAGATCCTTTTTATCAAACTCAAGTCCACATTCTTTTACAAGTATAATCGAAAATAATCTGTACAAGGCTTCTTGTATCATGCTCCTCGGCTAATTTCAGAAGGTTTGCAACTCTTTTAAACCCGGCGTGCTCCTTAAGTAGAGTAGCTTCATCAACTTTTGACTTCATCTCCTGTTTTGGTAGCTTTGGCTCCTGAGTCAGCGACCATTGCATTGCCCATATTGCCAATGGCCGCATGTAACCCATTGATCTGTACTTTCCCTCCAGGTTGAATGCCTCGGGTGTTTGAAATGAGTAGCTGTTAAGGAGCAACCGTATCTCATAAATCAAAATGATACTCTATGTGAACCAAGAAAAGTCCAGTCTACATGAATGGAGTAAAGCCATGGAAACAAATGTTTGTGAGGGCATAAAGATCATGTTTTGGCATAGAGAAACAGTTTCCAGAAATCTTGGTTTTATTTTTCTTCATGCATTTCTTGCTAGTGAGGGGTTACGTGAACATCAAGAGTTTCTTTCAAAAACCATAACAGCTACCAGAATCATACTCCACGAAAGTTGTGTTACATTGTTCTTTGTTCAGTTATGACATCAAGTGAAAGTTTGCTAATGGATATCTACTAATAGACCAGTAACATAACCACTCAAATAGCAATTATGAGTAGTTCAATTCTCAAAGCCTCAAAAAAGTGCCAACTGCAAAGCCAAGTATGCGAACCAGCTATTGCTAAATTCCAGTTTTTCATATTTGACAAGAGCAACTAACATTACTGACTGCAGAGAGGCTCAAAACTAATGTTGATATGACAGAAACTTGTCATTCGAGGAACAGATCAGCATTTTTTTGAGTTTGTGATGGCCATAGATTATGAGTTAAAGAAGCAGATGAAAGCAAGCTTAACGTACCCTAGCCCATCTTTTGCCCAAGCAACTTCATGGATTCCCCCGGCAGTTCTAAATGCCATATCTATCTTGTCAGCCTGTATCATGGATGCAGCAACGGCATATGTAACTCCAGTCCAGATTTCCCTTGATTGCATGGAGGACATGTCCGGTTCTCCATTCGGTAACATGCCATTAAGAGCTCCCATCTTTCCATCTTTTACCCGTAAGACATTGAAATTGTAAACTGTCTCCAGGGCTACTTTTGCTTTGTCTTCATCAACTATTGGTAAAAGACCACATGCTAGAGCATACCTACAAAGTTTGCACATTAACAGTTGATTAGCTTACAAAGTTTGACACATTAACTATTCATGGATTGAATAGTTTCTTCTAGTGAACAAAGTGAAAGATCAGAGTCCACATCATCATTCACGCAAGCAGTTACGACGGATGAATGCAGACACAAAACTAAGAGCTCATTATTTAATAAAATAGAGCCATCAGACAAAATAACAACATTTTCTTGCTTCATTTAGATATTCCTAGAATCCTGATCAGAAAAGCAGATGAAACGGAAATGAATGTTCATCTAGGCTGTACCAATTTCCAGCCAACTGATCTGCTTGAATTGATGAACTTGTTTTGCTACCACTGTTGTCATAGTTAAAGTAAGAGCCATTCCACAATTTCTCATACACTTGTTTTGCTTTCAGGAACCTAAGCCAGAAGTAGTCCTCAGAACCCTTATCACCAACTACATGAGCTAGTGCAGAAGTAGCTTGCAAAGCAGCTACCCAGAGGCCACCACAATAAGCACTCACACCAGTTACAGACCATGTATCATATGTCTGATCAGGAAACCCATCATTCTCGATCATCCCATCCCCATCCTTGTCGAATTGGTCCATGTAAGCCATTGCCACATAAACTGATGGCCAAACAGCCTCTGCAAATTTTTTATCTCCAGTTGCCACCACATCTCTATAAACTTGCAATACAAATTTTGGATTTAAGTCTTTCCACCGGTCTGTGTTGTGAAGATTATAAAAGTTCACTTCAAACCAAGGATCATTCATCCCAATATCATGAGGAACAGCACCGAGAACCTTTCGTGGAACCAACTTTCCATCGCTGAGAAGTCTCATCTTACTAGGATCATGCATCAAAACTGCAGCAGCAAAGTCTCTCTGAAGGCTAAGTTCAAGTTTAGGGAATAGACTGGCCAACGCGAATGAAGCATAGAAGTGGACATCATAGGTGTTGCACATGTGATACTCAATCCCTTCAAGATAGAGGAATTGACCAATGTTTTCCTCGCCCTTTTGGAGCAGATTCGTTCCTAGGGCAGAATTTAATGATGTAGTAGAATGAATCTCCTGAAGTATTGAAGTCATCCTCTCAAGGATGCCAGTAGCAGTATCATTTTGATCAGAATGATTGCTGATTCCACTTTTGAGATTTGAATAAGATCGATCAAGCGAAAACTTTCTTCCCCCAATAGTGGATAAACTGTGGACAGCTGGTAGACCATCTGCACAAGCAAAATGATTTCAGTACAATACCTTGATTGAATGAGAACTTCACCAGGAAGAAATGTAATTCCACCTGTCCAAATTGTTCCTCCTGCATTAAGGTAGTAGAGTTCGTTGAATAGAGTGATGGGATACCTGCAGACAACCATCTTTAACATGAGAATTTCGAATATAGAAGCACTAAGACAATGAAGTTAAAAACTCACCACTCAGGAAGCCTCTTATCTTCAAGAATGGGTCTCTGCCATGCTTCTATTTGAGCCTCCCAGTCTTCGTGCTCTATATTCCACATAACAAAAAGCGAAAACCTATGTAAGAGAAGTTTTTATCAACAGTATTCAAAGAACCTATGAGAACTAAAAGCACACCCATGTTCTTTACCAATTAACTTCTGCGTTACCTAAAATAGAATCATGTGCAATCGCAGCCGCTGCATTCCCGAAGGTACCATAAAACTTTGTATAGCGCCTGTACATACATGTGAAACTTCAGAAAACTAAGAATTTAGAAATAATATGTATGAATAAGCAAATTAATTCCCTGCTTGCCTGTTATAAGTTCTTCCACCAAGGAAGTTTACTTCAGGACAAGCCCATGCCAGTGAAAATGTAATGGTCTTCTCTGTTCCCGCAGGAATAGTCACAGATGCAGCAATGGCAGCCCCAACAATAGACCCCGGTTCAGAAGGTGTTGACATTTCTCCACATTTCAGATGATCAAATGATCCATTCTGTAAGAACACGTGGTTACTGTCAAAACAACATATACAAAACTGCATGAAAACAACTTGTGCCCTTCTGGAAATCTTAAATCATAGCCAATTCATCTGAAGAATCTTCTCATAGAAAAAAGAAAGGTGAAATGAACAAATCTACACATAAAAATGAACACTAAACTGAGCAGAAAATATATATGCAACAGAGCCAGGGAATCAATATAAGTAGATGTCATATCAAGTACAAAGAATCTTTGCAAGAAAAATTCCAGATTAGACTCTCCAGATAATCTGTGTGATTAGAAACAACAATTGCCAGTCTCTGTGTGAGTGTAAGATAATCTTTGGCAGATATAGTGTATAGTTTCCAAAGGGTTCAGTCAACACCATCTAAATGCAATAAGATAGACATTTTGAAAGAAATGAGCAAAAAAACAAACTTTCAAATCAATTGATTGCAACTTTGCAAGTAAACAACAAATAGGAGGAGCAAGACAGAACCTCTTTTATTTCATGCCACATGTCTTTTGCGGTAATTCCTTCGGAATTTCCAGATATCAGAAAACAAGGACACTCAGAGACACTAACTCCATCTGTCTCTTGAGCAGCAATTGAAAAAGTTACTGAAGGTAGTCCGTTGGCAGTCCTGCACCATAATGAATAAGTATGAGCACTGAGCGTAGAAAAAGTAGCAGGTTAAAGATTTAACATTTGAAAAAGGCTAATGGATGTATAATGAACTAACATGTGGTGCAATAGTACCCCTCGAACCCCATCCTCCATCCTGAAAAAATAAAGGCATTCCTAATCAAAATTGTAGCCAAAGTAATGAATGAAATACTGGAAAGGGGTAAGAGAAAAGGACAAAAACTCAAAAGAGTGTCCAACGTACTTAAACTTCGAGTTGAAGTGCTGACCAGATAATCCAGAATCCCCACCAACAGAATTCTGGACCATGTAGAAAGTTTGGTTAAAATTCACTTACTGTTAGTTAGTACAAATCTCTGTCACAGCTAGATGAATTCAGTATAAGTAGATGAAAAGGAATGAAAGAAAACAACTAAACTTACCGCCCAGGTAAAGAGTAAAGTAACATCTGCATCCATTTGTCCCGAGTTGGATAACTTCATAAAGCAACACAAATAGAATTATCAGTCTCTCCCATAAACTCAAAGCAAATGGCATACAGGAAAAATGGGAACCTGAGACCTCAGAAGCTCACTCTTACCGTAAAAGTAAAAACCGTTACAGGCAAGCTACTTTCTTTATAATTATGTGGGATGAAGGGGGATAATTGACGGCATACTATTTTAAGATCAGGATCTGGTTCACCTGCATTGAAGTCCAAGCTCAAGCTGAGATAATCTCTTGTGGTGACCATTGTTTAACTAAGAAAATATTAAATGATGAATATAGGTTACCATCATAAACTGTCCAGGCCCTAGGGAACAAAGCATGGTATGTTGATCTGTTCCCCTCTAGATTCCAGTCCCAAGATCCAATTCCTGAAGCTGTATTATCACTGTTCATCCAAGCATTTGCATAAGAGTGAATCATTTTTCAGCAAAGTCTTGCATTCGATAATTTCTGAATAATAGTTCACATAGTTTAAAATTGCAGCTAATGTTGGAACTAATGGATACTTCATAAATATTGCAGGAAAGGCAAATGAGACCCTGGTTGACTATTCAAAAGAAAGAAAATAAGGCAAGATAAAAGTCTTAAACTGAGAAGATACTCTAACTGGTCTCTTCCTTCTTACTTCAACCACCGCCAACACCACCACCAAATAAGATATTAATGTCTATTATTTTTTAAGACTTTTTTAATTGAAGTTTAAATATTTGACCAGCCATAGATGGCATGCTTTTGACTTTCTGCCTTGTGCAGCCTTGATCACTACATCAGTCTGTTATCCTACAAGCATTCCAATTGAAAGTACAGGAACTATTTTTCCCAAGCTAATAACATGATACTGAATCCCCAGATATTGGGGAATACAACAGTCTAAAATTCAATTAAAACCCCAGAATCATTAGTATCCAAACTCATGATTTCTGAAAGAAATCCAACAAGCTATTATAGTAATAACAGTGATAAAAGCATTCTATTAGCTGCTTACTTTAAAGTATCAGGCCTTTTTGAGCATAGTACAGTAGAATGCTTTTGACCATTTGGGCGGGAAACAAAAACCTGTAACAGAATGGCTATATGCAGGTTAAGAACAGAACAAACGATAGCAACAATTCTAAACTAAATAAGAAGTATGACCACTTAACTGGTGTGCTTTCAACACTACTTTGAATGTTAATGAGATATTCAATAGCCCTTTTCATTTTTCTTGGATCCCTTTTCTTCTTCTTTAGAGAATTTTAAAATTTTTCTTTTTTGTAAAGTTCAAAAGGCTCCAATCTCAGACCTCCGATATCAACATTTAACATCAGCATAATACAGTTAGTCATTCTTATGACATTTTCTTTCATTCAAATGACATGACAATTTGTTAATTCCATCGTCTTTCAAGAAGTAAATTCCAATACAAAATGAAAGTCTCGGCACCAAATATCACAACTATCTTTTGACAACATCATTATTAGCAATGCATTTCCTCCTGAATAGGACAGATATTTACATTTCTGTAAAAGATAATTCTGAAGGTTATGCCACTTATTTCCAGTGTCAAAATTTTGTATAAATACCTTGCTGTGTCTCTAAAGAATTTAAGATTCCATTAAGTCCGTTTCATTTACTTGTGTTTCTTAAACAAACGCTTTACAAATTACCAAATTCCAGATGCTGCAAATCACTGAGACTAATTATGGATGCTGTCTTTGAGTCAATTATAACATCTACATATATGAACATTTCCAAAAATACAAGCCCTTTAAAGTTTAAATCAGTAAGTGCAATCTGAACAGCAGAAAAGGAGCTAAAGGACTTAAAAACCAAAGAGTTTAAGCAATGCAGATGGCAACCATGACAAGTAACTGATTAACCATTTGGATATGGTTAACATGAGCACCATAATGACGCTACACTTACAGAAAACTGGTCTGCTAAAACTGGTTTATCTTCGCATATCCTAGGAAATATTTGCCAACGAAGAAATTCTCCTTTGTAAGTTCTTCCAATGCTCCCTGCACTGAAGATTGCATTCTTGTATGCATTAGATACATAAACCTATTCATAATTTAGGTAACGAACAGTCAAAACATTATATCAAACAGAAAATACTTGAGAACATTGAAAGGCATTTACAAATGAAGGCCGTGGTAGCATCCTTAGGAAAAGTTCAGTACAAAGATAAGATAAAAAGCATTTCTTAACAATCAATTAAGAGAAGGGCAGTGTTTTAATTTTTTACATTAGAACAAACAAGAAGGCTAATGCATTTTTATTAATTCTAAATCAGCATAAGATATTCCATCAGCTAAAGGTCACCGCATCCTGCAACTACAAACCCAAAAAACACCTCGGGCCTTTTTTCGTTAACACCTAGTGTTGATTAATGGGGCTTCAAATTTCACATGAAAATACATCTTATTATGTCATTGGTGCTTATTCTGATGAGTTTAGCAGGGAAGTTGCAGTTAAGGATACCATCACAAGATCAGCACATACCCAATGCCACCCAAGGGCACACCTTGGCATGATGTAACATGGCGCTTCGTAAATGGATTGACAAATGCTCCCTGCATGACGTTGTGGACAATTATAAATTTATATTTTCTATGTACCTCATGTTGAAATAAGAAATCCATACTCGAATATGCTTACCCGCCCTGAGGCTTTTTCTTGTTCAATATGTCTCCACAACCGGTAGCCTATCGGAGCCTACAATGAGCCAGGCAAAGAAACTAGAGGTCAGAGAGGGCACAAACATTCAGTACAAAGACTCAGGCCGAAAAGTAATTTGTCCAGGATATTTCATTACAGAGTATTTTCATTGTAGAAAAACAGAAACAATCCAAACTAGGTCAACGCCGGCAACAATTAGATTCCCAAATTGTTCTGAAATTAGACAGCTCACTGTGGATACAACTAGAATTTAATTCCTGAATGCATGCGCCATCATGGAGACTTGCATTTTCCCAAACATACTGAAGTCAAAAGTTTGAATCTGTTTGGCTTTTCATTATGCTTTTTGTTTCGGCTCAATATTTGCGAATCTGAAACGTGTTGACACAAGACCAGACAGGGCCTTAAGAAATTACCATGGTGATGATTTCTTTCAAAGTCAGACCAAATTCAGACAGTACAAGCTCCTCAGAATCCAGTTTACGTTGCCAAGTAAGAGATGCCGGTTTCGCCGGATCAACCTTGGCCTGGAACAAAAAGTGAAAAAAGAGAGCAAAAGAAGAGCACATATAAAGTTAGACGGATTTGAATGAATAACTGATCAAATTATGTTATGAGCTGCAAATTGTACCGAATCTTTGTGTGAACCATAGGATTCTCGGTCACCACTATCCAAATCGTTAACCAACATTCTTTCCTGCATCCAGAAAGAAAACGAAAGACCAATAATAAGGATCTTCTAAATGCACAAGCATCATCCACAGGAGTATTTCAGTTGCAACAACAGAATAGAAGAACCAAAGTTTATGAACTAACAGTTTTCACTAGACATGTGAAGAACAGCAGAACATAAATCAGACTCAACCCACCATTATTTTCCTAGTATATAAACATTGAGTTACACGCTTCTTTAAAAACGGGGTAAATGACAAAAAGGAATCAAGTTTGGCACTTGTAAGAAAAATTCTGCTCAAAAGGCATTCTCTCAACAAAACTAAAATTTATTCCAGTTCAGGACCAGTTATTTGAGTGCACGAAAAACATCAGCAAGTGACTTACAAGCAATCAAGGAGAAGCAAAAAAAACGTAAGCTTGGAAGAAACGCAAGAATGACGAAATCCCAGTGGCTGAAACAGTCAAATTAGTGATCACGAACTAAAACCCATTTCAGGAATCCCAAAAACAAGCAAAAATTAAACAGGAAAAAAACAGAAAGGGACGAAATTCAGCATAAAACTGGGAATGCATGGAACACCATTAAACGTCACATGGAAGAATTACCAGTGAAAAAAATCGAGATGGGCACTTTGACTTTAAGGAATTGAACGTTTGGGGAGTGTAAATACACGTATATATAGAATTCTTCAGATTGATTGGCCCATATAATACACGGATCTTAATAAATGCATTTATACAGTATGTAAAGCTACGACAAATTCAACAACCCTTTATCTTTTGAATTTCTTAATTTCGGATTAAATTGTTAGTGATTCAACAAAAAGGACAGGAAGATCATTTCATATAGTTAATGGTGTCTGGCGTATCCAAAAAGGCAAAATTAAAGAACCATTTTGGAGATCAGCTTTGATGCTTGCTTAGAGGTGGCATCAAATTAATGGAGGAATCTAACACTAAACGGCCCAATTGACGGCCTTTAAAAAAAATTGTTTTCTTTTCTTTTCTTTTTTCTTGTTCGGAAAAAAAAAATTCAATTGCAGCACTAAATATTTGACCAGTTTAAGACTAGGACAGCTGGTTTTGTGGTTGGGCAATTCATTTCTTTTTTGCTTTTCCTTCTTTTTGTTTTTGTACAAATAATCCAATGTTTTTTTAATCATATTAAGGCTCGTTTGGTTAGATTGAATTGGAATTACAATAATTGAATTGAAAATAATATATTACTATTATAATTCAATCTCAATTCCTTTGTTTGGGAGATCTTGAAAATTTACTAGAATTAAGGTTCTAATTCCAATTCTTGCGTTCGGATGCATAAAAATTTGGATACTTTAGGATTGAAATTTGTTTCTTATTGTATAATTAATACTTGTACAATTTATACTTCTTGTCAAAAACAAAAAAAAAAACAAAATTAATTTATATGGATATATATATATATCACAAAAAAAATAAATAAATTCACTATTTACATGTATATTTGACTACTTTGTGGTTGTTTAACTAGGACAATTTTATTTTTTTGTTAAAACAAATTATTATTTCTAATAAATTTGCTAAATCAATTTCGTAGTTTATTATGTACACACAGTTCTTGTTGGAAACAAAAGAAATATTACTACCTCCGTCCTAAAAAATTGGTCCATATTGAGTTTTTAAATTTGTACTAAAAAAAGTACAAAAGTCAAAACTCAATGTGGACTATTTTTTTGGGGACAGAGGGAGTATTACGTATAAGAATTATCAATATGATACTTAAAATTATCACTTAATACACAAACAAGTAACATGTAAAACATCCTTGTTTTCCTCTTTTTTATTATTTTTCAAAAATTTTAATTTTTGATGTTTTGATTTATATCAAAAATTAAAAAAATTTTACTATATAATATTGTAAATTCAGTTTATGAATATTGAGGTTCATTTATATATAGATTAATATTAGTATATAATATATGCTTAAGTTTTTATATATATATTTATGAAATAATAGATACTTAAAACTCAATTTACATAATTTTTGGTGAAAAGATGCCATGAATAATTTAAAATTTATATATATATATATATATGTATTATAATATAGGTGTATATATGGAACAATTTCTATAATTTTTTTTTTGAAAATTTTATGTTTTTTACTATGTCATAATATAATAAAAATTTTAATCCAAAACTAAAATATTTAGTTATTAATTTTTTTTGGTACAACTATACTTTTGATATTTTTTTATAATAAGATACAATGTTAATTTTAGATTGATTTCATTGATAATTATTAAATTGATATATATGAAATAATAATAATGAGACAAAAAGGCAAAAAAAATGACAAACAAAGACAAGAAAAACGTCAGGAACCGCTGAAAGCAAAAAAAAAAAAAGAAAAAAGAAGTGCTGAAAAAATAAAATTAAAATAACAAAAAAATATTAAAGAAGGTCAAAAGGCAAAAAATGATAGGGCGATCCGTTTAGATTATACCCGGAAACGACCCGGTTATGACCTGTGTGCTTTATTAAATCCCCTGAATTTGGATTCCAATTATTTGCTCCCACAAAAGAATTGAAAATAAAGAATTAAGCCCTATCTTGAATTATAATTCCAATTCTTGGACCTCTATTTTTTCAACCAAACACAAGAATTAGAATTAGAGAGTTCTAATTCCAATTCTTGGTCCCAATTCAATACAACCAAACAGAATCTAAAAGGATTTTATGATTTATTTTTTGTCCGAGGTTTTTCACATATGTACCAAGACCATGAAGACTGTAAAGTTTATGGAGCGATTTGTGTAACAATTAAATTAGACAACTATAATATAATTATCGCTGACTTTGGTAACGAGCTTTATTGTTTCTATTGATAGTTCTAGAAAATATGATTATTTTTTATTCTACTACTTTAGTCATTAGCCTCCTTCATTGTACTTTAGGCATTATCTTTTCCTACTTATTTATCTATTTTTGACAAGCACAATCAAATTACTTTTGAAGTAACTTAAAAGAAAATAAAAAAGAAAGAAAGAAAAACTAACAAACAGGAAGTGCTATATTATGATTCGAATTATCACAGCCGCATCGTCTGGCAAATGCAAATGATCTAAACAAACCAACAAAAGCGGATAAATGGAAAACTGATAAATCTGCATCTAGATTGTTGATATGATCTAGTTGTTGTTTTTTTATTTTTTTCTTTTGATGAGTCTTAAGATGCTTTTGTGATGGTTTAAGAATTGCCATTTGTCGATCATCGACGATGAGCATTTGATTTCTTCATGTTTCAATTAAGGAAAAAAAACAGATGGTAAAGAAACGATATTTAATGTTAAACAGCATGTTCATCCTGTCTTAAAATAAGAGTATTACTTACATAAAATACCAGGATTGTTCTTCAGAACGGAGGTGCAATACCCTTTTGGAAGTGAAAGAATGTACAAGGTTGAAGAAGTGGTCGATGAACTGATGTTCAGGAAGTGCTCTTTGGAATCAAAGGCTCCGTGCAATGATTGATTTTTGTGTTCTTGATCTTGATAACATTTTGTTGAGTTAATGGAAGAAATCCTCCAAAATATTTTGGTAAATTTTCACATTCCTACGGCAAAAACAGGGTAAGATGTATTCAGTCTTCAGAACATGACTTCCCTCTTAGACAAAGGGCCTCTTTGGTTGAATGGTTACCTTTCATTTTTTCTATTTGCCCTCATATGATTCATGATTTGTACTCTTTAGACTGCTTTTTCCCTCATCCGTCTTACAAAAATAATCTACTAATTATTGAACCTAACAAAACTTCAGCAGAACGAAGCTGTCTTCATGGATTTTGTATAGTATTTAATGGTACTCACGTAACAACAATTAAAGCCACCAGCTCAATTCGAAAACGCTGCTTAGCCACTAAGATGTTCAATGTCGGCCAATCCGCATGCGATAAAATATCCTCTTACTCCTCCTGATGCCAAAATGGATCTTTCTATTGCTCTTGAGACAAAGTAAACGTTTTTGTGTTATTCTTTCCCATCAATCAATTTCCTTCCATTGAAAAGTTTCTGCAATTTCGATCTTCATTTTCATACACAGTGTTAGGAGTTCTGCTCTGAACGTTGATTCAGAAATGGATTTTGTCGGATTCATACAGATTGCAGTCTACTAACGGAGCTCGAGGCTAGGGAGGATCTTGTACCTTTAGAAATTAGAAATATTTGCCGTGATATTTTAAGGTTGAAGTGTATGTTTAATGGTTGTATGATTGTTAAGGTTAATAGAGGCAAAGTATAGAGGGTTAATAATGCTGCTCGGCAGCTTTGTAAGTATGTACAACAGTTGCTTGCTCTTTGGTTGGCTATAATATATGATTGTGCATTTTTCAAAAAAAAAAAAAAAAAAAAAAACGGAGACTCGAATTGCAAAGAAACGAATTATCCATACGTTCAAACCAGTAGGCTTTATTCATGAAAGAATCAATATGTTATCCCTGCCAGCAACTCATAAACGCGCTCCAGAGAGAACACAACCGAAAAAGCCATCACGCTCCGGAAAGAATACGACAGAAAACCCAACATAGGCACTTAATCAATTAGAAAATTCCAAGTAATCAAATTCGGGCAGCTCAAAAGACATGACAGACAAGGTATTAACTTGTTCACCAGTAACCGTGATATATAGCCACATATCTCAGGAAAATCAATAATCGATGTCCAAAAAAATCATCAGTATTCATCTAGTTGCCAAAAATGCTTTTACCTCTGGTCCCTTCCTGACCAGATACACGGCAGAGTTCAGAGTTTCATCGTCTTATTTGATCACGAATATAGTTTTTTTTAGACAAAAGAATTTAAAGGCCTAACAACCAAAATCATAATCCGTGACTAGCTTAATATGATCCTCGTGCTGAACAGAAATCTTTACGCGGTAGCTTCCTTGAGATATGCGATCAGGTCAGCCCGCTCCTTAGGCTTCTTAAGTCCAGGGAACACCATCTTAGTTCCAGGGATGTACTGCCAAAAGAGATCACCCACAGCGGAGCACCAATCAGAAAAGTTACCGAAATGACAGAAAACAAAATTGAAACAGATCAAATCAAATAAAGCAAGAGGGAAACGTGCAGACTGGAAAACACCAGGAATAAACGGACCTATATGAAATGCATCAATGCAAGACCGGAATGAATGAAAAAAATCAATAATTCACGAGGCAAAGGAAAAAAAGAAACTTCAGAACTACTCACAAATATCCCTCACGATGTATTCCATCCATCCAAAAAGAAGCATCAACAGAATAATAACCATAAAGGAATTCACAAAATCCAATGAAGCTCGCCAACAACCAGGGAAAAGCAGTGTCCCAAATGACAAACTAATATACTGTTCAGAAACTAAACTACAATTCTCTAGATAATGAGAAGTGAAGACTCTGAAACAATAACAAAAAAAACGGCTAAATGTTATAAACTGCATGGCAAAGCTAAAATGCACAACTCCACGATTTTGCAAGGCAACTCCATTGAAAGCAAAGGAAATTTTAAGTTAGATTCAAGTCCAATAATTTGACGACTGTTCCTTGAAAACTTGTAAAGAAGACGATTACATCCAAATCATATAACAGTGTCTGAATAAATTGCATAACATACTCCAAAAATCACAAGGAGGGAACGACTCAAATCTTTTCGTACAATCAGAAAACAAGGAACAAATGTTACTTCATGTATTCAACATGAATATTCCCAGAATGCATAACCATATCTGAATGAACATTAGAAAAAGGGGCTTATGAAGGCATTCATCCAAAAAAACAAACAGCAAACCTTATGCAATCAAGAATCATACAATATACCACGGAGGTACCAGCATAACCTAATCATGTCATACTTTACATCATCAGAAGCTATCACAATCAACATCTGTCTGTGACCCAAGAGGGGAGGAAGACTAAAAAAAATAAGCTGTAAAGACATATATGAAATACCTTCTTGGGGTTGAGAAGATAGTCATACAGCGTATTCTCTCCCCAGATTACAGCCATGTTTTTGTTAGCAGCAGAGTAAGAATAACCAGCTGTGGTGCCCGATTGGCGTCCAAAAAGACCATTCAAATTGGGTCCTGCAACAGCCAAAATGTGAGGAAAAAATTAGAAGAGACCAACAAAAAAATTATCTTGAACTGTAATGTCCATCAGAGTTCAAAGTCTAAACAGAAGCACAATTGCCACATCACAGGCAGACCCAATATTCTCTGAAAGAAAAATGTACCAGGCTTTTGAGAGTTGGCAGAATAAGATCATTAATCATATGTAGATATTGAAAGAATAATCCAAGCCAAATTAAGATCACATACAAGCAGTTTAGCATACATTATGTTACCCATTGGACATTGAGTTCTAACAGCCATGCATGCATTCTCCATTGCAAAGTAAAAACACATAATCACTGAGTATAAATATCAGGTATATTAATCCTAGCTTTGTGTTTGACACAGGTAAAATCTAAGCTTATGTTCATTTAACCCAGGAGCCCCCAAATTAATGTTCTACATCTAGTTAAGACTTAAAAGAGTCCTACCAGCAAATGCATTTATTAATATGAATCCAAATATCACGCAGCTTCTACAAATCTTGGAAACATAAATATCATGCAGCTTCTTCAAATCTTGGAATCATAATCAACTCTTTATAAGGTACCAATTTTGGAAATACTGTAAATTCGTGAAGACAGGTCAGAGGAGGATCATATCAAATAAAATCAATCAATAAAAGGGATCAGAGTAAAAGTACACTACATGTGTTTCTAATCAAATTCAGGAATAACAACAATGTTAAATCACGCAATAAAAAAATAAACATAAAAATCCTACAACACTATACATAAACACACTAGCAACCGCAACCAAAAAGGATCAGTGAACCATAAATTAATCTGAATCATTTCACTTCCCCTGCAAAACCAACCCCGCCGGAGTTTTTTCCAACAAAAGTGTAGCAGAATACAAACTTAGATGCAGAGATTGGAAAACTGAAACGAGATCCGGATTAAATCAGCCATCCGAACCAAAAATGGAAAATCAAACGCGCACGAAAACGTGATTGCGAAACGTAGGGAACAAATCTTAGCCGGAATACTAACCTTGCTTGTGACCGGCTCCTTTTTCGACGGTGTGACACTGAGCACACTTGGTCTTGAAGATCTTCTCTCCGGCCTTCGAATCACCAGGTGGAGCTTCCGCAAAAGAAGCCATTGTCAGACTAAAAGGACGGCGAGATTCTTAGGGTTTTCCGGCGGGAGAAAGCGCGGCTGCTTTGGGAGGCGTGTGGAGAAATTCTAGGGCTTTCCGTCTTACGAAGGTTCTGGTAAAGAAGGCCAGATGGGCTTTTATAAGTTTTTATAAAGAAGATTGTTAAATTCTTTATTTTTTCCGGTGAATAGAAGCGTGCCTTTGAGGCGGCGGCACGCGTCAAAGCTCACATTCATTGATTTTGCTTAAAGACGACTTTACCCCTTTTATTTGCGGTAGAGGTTTCTGTTCACCGCAGGTAAGCACGTAGCGTGAATAAAACGTCAGCACGAATGGGTGTATTTTGTCATTTAACGCTTACCCAAAAATAGAAACGAAGTCGTAATTTCAACGAACCCCCTCAAGTTTGTCAATTTTTGACAATACCTCCAAATTAGTCTTATATGCGCAGCTAGCTATTAACTGATGCTGTTTGAGTTGATGCATTTCCCTCCAAACGATTCATTTCTCATTTGGTAATGGAGCAATGCACCATCTTCAGTGATCTTAATGATTATCCTTTTTCCCTCGAACAAAAATAAAACATTCATTTCATTTTTCTTGATTGCAGTAAATCTCAATCCGGGGTCTTCAGTCTTCATAATGATAACATTATTAACAAGATAAAAGCTACTGCTACAATTTGATAATTCTCACTCATTCATTTCATAATGCAATTGGTCAATTCACATGTGCATACTATGATGTTCACTTCGATGCTTTATTCGCCTGGACCAGTCTACTCCCCAATCTTGAACCTATAGCCTTCTAAGAGCCTTTGATGCTGCAGTTTTGTTGCATGATCCTAGTAAGATGAGATTCCTCCAAGATGGAAAGCTGATTCCTAAAAAGGTTCTTGGTGCTATTTCTGATGATATTGGCATGAATTTTGAAGTAAACTTTTTATAATCTTCGCAACACAGATTGGTGGAGAGACTTGAATCAAAAAGTTGTATTGCAAGCTTATAAAGGTGTAGTGGCAACTGGAGATTTAAAAAGAAAAAAAAAATAAAAATGCAGAAACTGTTTGGTCATCAGTTTACGCTGCAATGGTTCCTGTGGATGGTGGACTACTTCAGACATTAGAATCCAGAAAGCAAAACAAGTGTGAGTAACTGTGGAATGGCTCCTATTTTAACAATGAATATGGTAGCAAAACATGTTCAAGCAGTTGGCCGGGCCGGACGTTGGTACGCCCTAGATTAATGTTCATTTCTATTTCATCTGCTTTTCTGGTCGTGACTCAAGAACTATATAAATGGAACAAGAAAACATGTTCTTATTTTATCTGATGGCGCTATCAACTATTTTGTATGCTAGTCTTAGTTTTGTGTCTGCAGACTGCAGTTCATCTATGAATAACTGCTGTCTGCTGCTTTCCATTTTCATGCGGCCTAAACTGTGATCGTTCACTTATAATTCGATTCACATGAAGAAACTATATGATCAACAAATAATCAACTGAATGTGACAAACTTTTTGGTAGGTATGCTCAAGCATGTACTTTTACCAGTAGTTGGACAAAGCAAAAGCAGCTCCTGAGAAGATTTACAATTTCAACATCTCACCGGCAGAAGATGGAAGAAGGGAGCTCATAATGGCATTTTACCGAATGGAGAACCTGACAGGCAGAGAAGATGGACTGGAGTTACATATGCTGTACCAGCATCCATGATACAGACAGAGAACATGGAGATGGGAGGCGGAATCCATGAAGTTGCTTGGGCAAAAGATGGTCTAGTACCTTATTAACCTGCATAATGCCAACCCTGTAATCAAAATGTTTGTAAACAAATTAAGACCAATTTGTTGAAATTTCTACTGCATGTGAGGCTCCCTCAGCCTAAGACTCTGAAGGCTATTAAGTCACATGGAAAATAGCCAAGCTCACTGCTAAATGTATTCGGGGGCACAGATTTGCATGACCACTGCTTGAGAAATTGGTCTTCCCAAAGTGGAAAAACTCTTCCAATAAGAACCCACAACCACGCCTGCAGAGTATTCGAGGTGCTCATAAACAAGCATAGTACTTCGAGGGATATAGAAAATTTCGAGCTGTGCCAAATAACAACTCTCCCGCACTTGCACACCAAGAAAACTCTTGGACGAGAAAATCTAGTTCGATTTTGTATTCCTTCAGCTAATGGAGTTCACTGGATTCAAACAGCCCTCGCCACACTATTGTGCTGGATTTCTTACCATCATTGAGGTAAAACTTCTCTTCTAGAGTCTAGACCAACCAAACTAGTTACTGAAAAACATGATTCATCACATATCCAACCTGTAGAATAGACAATAAACTAGAACCTATCCTTCTCAAGATCCAAATTAGCAATCTGTCTTTTGTCCTGAGCACTGAGCGGGCCATGATAGCCAATATGCAGAATTAACAACTAAAATGCTGTCTTCATATCCACAATACATGGACAGTCTTCCTCAATTTCTCTCTCCAAGATGCTGAGTTGATGCCACCACTGTCAAGACAAAGTAGAATTTGCTCACTCGCATTGATCTTCTGTGTTCATGGTAATCGCCGTGGTAAATTTCATCATCATCTTCATAGCTATCGACATCATGGTCATCGTCGTGGTTATCATTCAAGAAATCACCCATAATCACCACTAACTACACTTTTCTGAAGATACAAATCCAAACACAAGTCCTGCATGCATGTGTCCTGCAGAGAAATTCAATGATCGACGCATCTGAGGATTGCACGAGTAAGTCAGCACAGGAAGAGGAGAAATCTACACCAGTTCATTCAAACGGTAACTATCCTCAAATCGCCACTGAAAACTAGACAACAGCAAGGCACACTACAATCAAAGACACCGGCAACTCTTGATTCTGCTACATATTTAGCAATTCCCTCTGCATTCACCTTATCATAATCAACTGAAGTCTACATAGCAGTTCCTCATTCATTGTCGCCATAGAAGTATCTCACGATGAGGACGCACTCTCTTTTTCTTGGATTGGTCGTTAGCAAAAGAGGGGTTGGCAATGGCTTCCTCCCATGCCTTGCAAACGCATCGACAAGCACATGCATCTTTCACATCTAGGATGACTAGTAGTACCTGTCATTAACAATGGATTGAATGCCAGATCAGCATCCTGATATGAACAAATAAACCAGAGAAACACAGATGGAAGAGAAGACTAAATGGCCATGATTCTGTAATATTAAAAAACAAAATCCTCCAAGAACACACGTCTTGTTGAAGTACCTTTGCCCACTTCTATACGCATCAGCGGTTCGCTTTTTGCTCCACTCCATAAGAGGTCTACCATAAATACTGGGATTGAGATCGTCACAAAACCACTTTTACAATTCGTCTGATAATAATTCTTGATAATTAATTTAATTAAATTGCTGCCTGATCACGTTGCAAGTTGCACACGACAGCAATCAAAAGACAAAAGCATTGAGTTGAAGCAAGACTTCAAAAGAGTGAGAACTACAAACTGTACAGCAAAATGCAATATAAGTACTTGCTTTGCAGGTTTCAAAGTAAAAAGCACCGAGGTTTCCTCAGCACTGATTAAGCCGTCGATCTGTTAAAGGTGGACAAGAACATCTAGAGATACAGATCTATAAATTCCACCAGAAAAAATAAGGTGGGTCACAGGCAAACCACTATATCTCAGATGCAAATTTAAAACACCAATTCTTATTGTTACAAAAAAAAAAAGGAAAAAAGAAAAAGAAAAATTAAACCCTATACAAACAGTTCTTCTTTCACCACAAAAATGTAATTCACCAGGACTTTTGCCTGCACTATCTTCCTCCTAGAGCGCAAGACTTTGCGAAGGAGGCAGCATAGGCCAGCCAACAAGTCTAGGTGACCCGGGCGGGGTTGCATGCCTACTGGGAGAGAATAGGCTCAGTTCCACAAATCCCCCTGGAGTTGCATCTTTATCCATTGTCCGGAAAGAAATTGACCCACGTTTGGTTGAAGCAGCTGAATTTCTCCCAGGACTGCTTACCAGGCTTTCATCTACAGGGCTTTGGTTAGCAATTAGCGACACTGTATCATTTTGCTGCTCGTCACTAACTCTCCTCCTAGCCTCTATATCTTTCTGGAGATTCCTCAGAGCTAAAGAATCCGCAACTGGAAAATACACAAGCAAGCAAATACCCACCAGAATACAACACCAAAGGGAAAGAAAAGCCAAAAATGCAAGAGTATCAAACAGCAGGACTTCCGGCGCAAAACGAACAGATAAACCAAGAAAAATAACCCTTAAAGGAACTAGACACACGACAGAGCAGATCAATGTGTATACTCTCTTCTGCAGAGCCTTGTTGATGACCAAATGTAGAATTCTCCTTCCAAGTAAGACATGATAACCGATAAATATTGTATTAAAAAGACCAAGGACGATTGTACTCAATAGTGGATAACTGCAGAAAGCAACACCACTATCATGCTTAGCTCTAGCAGCAGGACTGGTGAAGTAATGCGGCAATTTGTGCAGAATACTATCCTCCTTACTGAATTTTGGACCAATCAAAATTACAAAAAGCTGAAGAAGAAAAACTGGGAGGCAAAACAGAATCACATAAGCAGCTGTTTTGCAGTTCCATTTTGGACTCAGTGTTCCAGATTTCTGTAGTGATGCGCGCAGGAGAAGTACAAGGGTGAGAAACAAGCAAGGTTCTGCAAACCCTAGATTGGAGACAATGTAGATCTTGCATAAATGTTCTTGCCATGTCAACTTAAGGTCATTTATAAGTCTGCCGTCACGTCTCAATAAACTCAGCCGAAAAATCTCCCCAAGACCCCACAAGGAAGCCAAAACAATTAAAAGAATTCGGATGATCCAAGGGCCACTAAAATAACCTAGCTGAATAAAACCCTGACCTTTGATCCGACTTCGGAAATAAAAGGAGTACAGGATGCAGAATAGCCCAAGGAGAATCAAAATAGTTACTAGGCAAATTGTCACCACACCAAGTGCATCAGCAACAAAGCTCTTAACGTGCATTACCCAAAGCACAGATTCCACGCATGCTCTTTGCCAGCATGGATAAGAGGAGATCTACAACACAGATGGTATATCCTCGCTGACTTCAAGCATATGTGGCAATTTTGATTACAACTTTGAAGAGCTCCACAAGGCACCAAAATAAACATAAAAGAGATACCACCCCAAATGTCCAGAGAAAACTTCCCTAGCGGCAGTCAGTTTATTGTAAAACAAAGGTTGTTCCCAATGAACATGCCTGCCCAATAGACCAGCAGCACTTTCTTGGAACCAGCTACCCGAACTGATAGGATTCCAGAAAGGATTGCAAGATAAGAACCTGCATCATGAAGTAAACACAAGACGATACTATTAATTTGAATGGCGTAAGAGAAGAATCATCAGCAGAATAAATTTAAGAGCAAGGGAGCACAAAATGGAAAATATTGGAATAATTTTAGACATGAACATGACTTCTTGGACATAACGGTCCAAATTGATGACATCCAGGATTAAGGATGCTTCAGTAGCACAATTTTGTCAAAACCAGTATTGCCTTTCGATAGCAACAAAACAAAAACAAACACGAACACGTAAACATCTTATCCAGCAAAAGCTGACTCCATAAAAGAATGGTCCAACCGTTCACGGAATATAAATGTAAATAAATTTATTTCTCAAATTGGTATTTCGTCATATAATTCAGTTAAGGTTTAAAAATTTCGAACATGCGACCCACGTGATTTAATCACTGAAATTGGAAAAGAGCATTTTGAGTTCCTCTCCTCTGGGCCAATTTCACTAAAGAGACCAATCACAAATCACTTTATCCGACAGAAACACGTGTATACTCAACCACGAATCATGGTAGCGAATCTTTTTATAACCCTCATTTGAAAAGGAAAAGAAAAACAGCACAAACCCTAAGAACCAAACACAGCAAACTACTTTTCATCTATCTTATACATGAAAATCCAATCCACATGGTCATAACCTTGAAATAATTTCCTCGGGACTCGGGAGGTAGCCCCTCAAGTAGCACTGGACTAAAATAGAGCCATTTAAGCAGGATATGAACTCAATAACTCCGAGTGCCCCTACTTCAGTGCAATGCTAATCACAGACTAAACTCCTTCAACTAACTGAATCCCCTGAATCCCCAAAAAAAAAGAAAATCTCCAACTTCAAATTTATAGGCAAAGGGAATCATCCATCAGTAGAAATCATAAAAGAACTTCAAGTACATGTGCATAAACTGGGAATCATCCATCGCTATAAATTATAACACAAGTGCACATAACATATAGAGAAGCATACAACAAACCAAGCCTACAAGTAAGAGTTCTTCAATGCCGACAAAATACAATCACAAAATGGCACTAGCAGCAAATTAACAGGGAATAAACAATCAGAACGAAAACAAATCCAGGGCGGAAAAAAAAAAAAAACAAACAGATGTACGCGAATTAAAATATGTATCAAAATTCAACAAACATAATTGCTAAGCAAACAAGAATAAAATGCACAAAAAAAAAAACTCACAACATACAACACAGGAACATACGGCCCAGAATGAAAAAAAACACCAAAAAAATGCGAGCATGAAAACCGGAATATAATCCTCAGGAAAAAAACACAGCTACTTCAAGGGCAACGAAGAAGGAAAAAAAGACAATAAATCAGAAAAGCGCTTACCAGTTCGAAGAATCTCGATCCGGAGAGCCTCAACGCCGAGAGGTTGAGAAACTAGCCGGAGCAAAATCCAAAAACCCTAAAGAGCGAGTAGACGGCAGGAGAGATTTAGAGAGAGAAACCGAGTGCTTGTTAAATATAAAAAAAAAAAAAACAGAAGGAAAGAGAGAGAAAAGGGAAGAAAATGTAAGGCAAGAGATGACTAAAACAAAGCAAACCAGGGAAGAGAGGGAAGGAAGAGGGGAGAGAGTGAGAGAAGGAGAAGCAGTGTGTGACTGTGTGTGAGAGAGGGCTTTGTTGGTGACAGCCTGTCGCCAGCGAATAAACCAAACACCAAAAAAAAAAAATGCCCCCAGAAAAAATTGCAGAAAATAATTTTTAAATGGCTTTTCGATTTTCAGTGAATCTCACGAACACACAGTAATACTACATACTAATACAAATACCGTATTTTTATTTTTGGAGTTTTGGTATTTTTATTCTCAAAAGTGGAAAATTAGGAATTTTAAAAAATTTAGGGAAAAGACAGGCTGTAAGCAGCTGGAGGCGAGAGGTTCGCATTTTGTTACAAGCCTAGTTGGCAGTGTGGCCGTGGCGAATTTCACGGTGAATGTTTTTTGTCTCTGATCTGTTCTTTACTTCTTTTCTTCCTTTTTTTTCTCCTTCTTCTGCTACTACTATTCAACTATTCTACTTCAGGATGAATTCTTATGTTTGACCTTAATATAAAATGAAAAATTACATAATGGATGATATTTTTATAAACTTCTTCAATACAGACCACTTTAGTTTTCATTTTCAACTTATTTTGCCTCTTAAATATAAAATTCAATAAAAAATAAACTAACGTCCAAACAACTTTCTGATTTATATTTTAAAATCAAACTTACAACATTTTGTTAGTGTAGTAACCGTTTTCTGGAACTAAAAATAGTTCAGTGACTAAATCCAAAACTTTGCACATCTATTTCAATTTGTCTCTAGTCAAAAAACACTTTCTGCAATTAATAGTAGTTAGGAAAAAGTTTTTTGGGAATATGTATTGAAATATCACGTCAAAAAATATCACTAAACAATCAAAAAGTGTAAATTTTGGTTAATGTAAAAAAAAAAGAATTTCAAAAATTATCACTAAACAACGGAAATGTGTCGATTTTGATCACTGTAAACTATTAATTTTAGAAGCTATTCCGTGATTTTAATGATCATTTTACAATGACTAAAATCGACACTTTTCTATTGTTTAGTGATTATTTTTGAAATTTTTTTTTTATAGTAACTAAAATTGACACTTCTCGATTATTTAGTGATAGTTTTTGTACATGATATTTCAATAAATATTCAAAAAAAACTTTTTCTAAACCACCATCTAAACAACTTTTTGCTAAAATAACATTCAAACAATTTTTTCATTTTTCACTAGGTTTTCCATTAAAGTACATTCCACTTCTAAGTCAAAAATAAAAACTAAGATGACGTCCAAACAAACACTATATATTTATAATTTTTATTATAAATCGAGAATGTTTTTTGATATCAAAATTTTAACAACTACATATGTTAACCTTTTTTTTCTGTACTTCCATCCTTTCATCAATCTGGTCGTTATTTGCGACAACCTTATTTTTCAAAAAAAGAAAATTTATTTAATTATTTACTGCAAACATGATTTCATAAACAAATCACAAAATCCCAATCACATAAAAAAAAAAAATGGTTTTCCTCATAACTACTTCATGAAATAGAACTTCCAACATAAGAACATTACAGTAAATACCTCATAAAATAAGATTTTCAATAGACATTCATGAGTACGAATTAAACTAGAAAATGATTGTTTTTTAAATTAGGTAGTTAACGGGTTTATCAATGTAACATAATTACAATATCCATCAGTACTCACCCGAGAGAAACCAAAAAAAAAAAACACACACACACACACACACACAATTCAGAATCCTCAAATCCATTAAACTTCTTTTTGCTTTTCACATCACTATATCTGTAATAATTATTAGGCTCTGTTTGGTTGAATTGAATTGGATCCAAGAATTGGAATTGGAGGCCTTCAATCCAATTCTTGTGTTTGGCTGATAAAAATAGAGGTATCGGAATTATAATTATAATTCAAGATGAGGCTCAATTCTTTATTTTCAATTCTTTTGTACGATCAAATAATTACAATTTGAACTCTAGGGACTTTAGAAAAAACGCGGGTCACATACGGGTAATTTTTCGGGTTATAAAGAAACGGGTCACTTTTGTGTTTAAGTTTTTTTTTTCTTTCTTCTTCTCCCTCCAGCGCTGTACAACGCTGCTTTTCCTTTTTATTTTTCGTTTCCCCCCTCCCCCCCTTTTCCTTTAAGCGCTGGAAAATTTTTTTTTTTTATACTTTTTATTAAATTAACATGTGTTTTTATTCATTGTGCAAACAAGGTGTACATCAATATAATAATTATTAATGAGATCTATACATTAAAATTAGTATGATTTTTTTTTTGACAAAAACTATCAAATGTATAACGATACCCGTAATTTATTAAAAATTAAGGGTATTAATTATGGTTAACAGTTTTTTATCAAATGTATAAATAATTTTTGAACTATACTTGAAATTTTTTTTTCACTAAAAATTATGTAAGATTTCAAGAAGTCGAAATATATATTATTCTATATATAATTATAAACTAAAATAAAAATAATTAATTAGTACCATGCATTAATGTTAATCTGTACATAAATGAATGGTCTTTACTTTCAACTATATAAAAAATTTCCACTAAACCCCCCCCCCCAAAAAAAAACTTAAGATTAAAAATTTATAAAATAATAAAAAGGAGAGGAACAAGGATGTTCTACATGTTACTTGTGAGAATTCCAATCATCACATTAATATTCCTTAAGTAATAATAATAATAAAAAAGGTTTCCACAAGTATGTAAGTATAAATTATAAAATTGATATATATATATATATATTAATCATACAACAAAAGTTCTAATATAAATGTACATAATAAATTTATTTGTTTTTATCTTATATATGTAAATAGTAATAAATTGCTTTGATATGTAAAATTAAATATTTATTTTTACTCAATGAAATAAAGTACTAAGTTATAGTTAGATAATAAAAAACTAATTCTAATTCTAGATTTTATAAATTTATAAGGATCCAAATACAAGAATTATTATTAAAACCTTAATTCTAGTCAATTCTTAAGCTCTTCCAAACAAAGAAATTATGATTGAATTGCAATCTTAATATCTCATTTTCAATTCAATAGTATTGTAATTGTAATTGAAATTCAATTACAATTCAATCTAACCAAACGGAGCCTTAATACAATTGATTTTGAAATTTTAGAAATAGACGAAAGACCGCTCCAAAAATAGAATTAAAGAACTAGAGATATAATGGTCTTAATTAGGCAAAGTATAAGTTATAACTAGGAGTAATGCATCTTGAAAGAAAAAAGAAATGGTAGCAATGCCTCAACTATATTCGTAAACAAGTTATCCTTGAGCCAAAAAAAAAATAGTAATAATAATAATAATAATTTTGATGTTTATCATCATAAATTCAAAGTAACTTTTATCATTATTTTAGGACAAAAGAAATACTTTGTTTTTGTCTTCAAGAAAAATTTGCTTAGGAAAATAAAGGCATGCTCTGATAATACGTCATTTCAACCAATCATTCTCTCATAGGCTTAATCTTATAACTTGTAATGCAATGGACCGATTGGAACTAAAACAGAAACGGAATCGAAAATATCGAAGCTTGAAACTGGAAAATTAGGGTTCGACGGAGCAGAGAGATTTGGGGATCGACTACTTTCTGATTAACCAAACAAAACTTAAACTATTCCATAATAATAATTTAGCCCCAACCAAGACTATATATAGTCTGGTAGTTGGCATATTTACATAGCAGCCCTTAACTTACTAAATTAAAGTAATTGAGTCCCTGGATTATGAGAATCCATGACATAACTCTTATTAAGTTTTGTAGTCAGTTTTGATGGGCTTTTTTTATTATTAGTATTTTGTACAGTAATGGGCTTATCCAACGTAGAGAATTTTCTATTTTTGTTTGAAATGGAACATGGAGAAATTTATTCGAGTCAAAATTCGAACTTCCCTCAATTTTTTTTAGCTTCCAAGTTCACATAAATCAATCTGTTAAGGGGATTAATTTTAATAGCTTCCGATAAATCAAGGCGTTTTTTGCAACCGGACTAAATGGTTGATAGAAATCTGTTTTGTTTTTCTATGTAAGTTTGCTACCAATTAGTTTGGGTCGCTTCTATCAACAGGAAAAAAAAAAAACAAAACAAAAACAAAAAGTGCAACTCATTCGGACTAAATGGTAATAAAACTATATAATAAAATTTTTAGTACACATTTTATAGAATGCTTATAGGCTATGGGAAGTACGTAAGTAGTAGTACTTCATTACAAACTCCAATAGATTATTGTAGTATTACAAAACACTCAATATGTAATCAAAATAATTAAAATGTAAAACATTGGCTCTCTTTATCACCCTTGCCTTTCAATGCAAACGTCTGCTATCAGAATAATGATCATCAACGGGAGGACCACATTAGCATAAACGATCAGAAACTTAATATCCAAATCTGTACTTCATCTGGTACTCATAAATTTCATCTTTACAGCCCTTACACGCATAACACAGGTTTTGATTGTTGTTCCCCCAATTCCCACAATCTTCGCCCGTCTCCTCCAAAAGATCCTTCACAATTCTGCGGCTTTTGACAACAGGCTTTCCACAGTCGGAAACCGCTGACAGAACTCGGCCCGTGCCATGCAATCTTTTACGGGTTCCCAACCATATTTGGCAACTATGTTGGTTTCCCACTTCATTTCGGCCGGGGATATCGCCGTGAGAAACCGTACGGACACCACTAATAGGCATATATAAAGTACATGATAGTGGTTCTTCCGAATCGCTATCCCGGCAGAGATAATTAAAATAGAAATCAGAACTACATTAGAACTTCTATAAATTAATAATGTTGGGACCATCAAAATTTATTAATTTAGAGAATTATTAATTAATCGATAAATTAAATAAATTATTATTTTAAGAATTTTTTATGAGAAAAAAAGAACCGTCACTAAATTACTTAATTTGTAATTGTCATTACATTCGTTAATAATAATTTTTTTTACTTTAAGAAATTTATTAATTTATAGTATTGTTGGGACCTATAAATATATTTTTATTAGAAGATTTTCTGAAACATTATTATCTTATCATTTTATCGATTTTGTTCACTTTTTGTACTGGTCCCAAGTTGGGACTGGAGAAAATTATTAATTACTACAAGTTATTAATTTATAGATTATTAATTTATTGACATTTTACTGTATAAGAGTTCTGAAGGCTACCGTGTTATGTTAGATTTTTTGAGAGGGGCAAAAAAAGAAAAAGAAAAAATAGAGACTCATCGTTAAAAGAAAATAGATTGTAGTTTGATAAAAAAAACTTCTAATATTTTTATTGATTGATGAAATATAATATCAACTAATGAGAAAATGTAGGCCTCTAACATGTTATATGAATCGACCATGTTTTCCCTATGGTACGGAAAACATACATTGTTGGTCGTATGTTCAAGGAAGTAACCCTGCAAAATTATCAAGGCTACAATTGTAAGCATTGTGCTTAACAACCCTGAAAACTCTGGGAGTAGTGATCATTATCCTTCCAGCTGATTGTTGTGTGCAAAAATAATAATAAATCAATATTTAATTATCGTACGTGCTTAATCCCTTCCAAGATGGGTATCTTATTTGCGGAATGAAAGCGAAGAGAAGCAAAATATATATGGGTGTTTTTATATTTTGCTCAATACCCTAATCTTTTTTATTTGTGGTTAGTTTGGATGCTGTGTAACAAATCTATATTATATTTTGCTCAATGCCCTAATCTTTTTTATTTGTGGTTAGTTCGTATACTGTGTGTAACAAATTTATATATATATATATGAGAATTATCTTTTGATTTTGGACGAACCTGTTTTGGTGTGTATATATATACATATATATATATATATAGATGTTTTTGGTGGTATATTTGAAGATCAATGAATTGGTAGTTTTAGGAATAATGCAGATGGTTTACACATTGATTGTAACCGGAGTACTCCTACACAAATAATGGACTAAAAACCAAAGGACACAATTAATTTTAATTGCCGGAAAATGACCACTAGAATTACTTTATGCTATTTGAAGAAATTGAAACGAGAATTGATAATGATCATAGTAATGGCAGTTTCATGTGCATTTCGACACTCACACTGTCACAAACCAAGACGGTGTATTACAAAAATTGCAATAATTTGAGACAACAATTGCACAAAGACTGCACAAACGTAAAATAATGATAATAATTTTTTTTTAAATGATGTTTAAACGCGCGTATTGTGGTACTCAAACATTAAAATTTACATTATTAACATAATTATAAAAATGTTACTTATTGGGAACAACAAATTGCATCACTTTTAACAATCACTTGTACATTATTCATATATTGAACTTAAATATTTTTT